CCACCACCACCACCACCACCACCACCACCACCACCACCACCACCACCACCACCACCTTCCGTTGTCTTTCTATCGTTGCGCCTTGCTCAAATACTTTCCCCTACTTGTTAGTTGTTTGTACAGCTTTATTACGATATGGTAATGAGAAAGCCACTGAAAACGGTGTGGTCTTGTGTGGGAAATCTCCGTTAGATGGCGCCTCAAATGTACCCTGTATAGTTAGCATTCTACGTCGGGCAGAGGATTACTCATTGGCGAAGTCAGAGGGTCCACTATCACCCCTGAAAACGCCTCCCTTTGTTCCTTAATCTTAGTGCAAATCAGGTGCAAGGCATGCTTCCGAGGTCTTGAAGAGATGGCAGTTTGAAGCCTTTAGTCCAGCATCTAGTCCCTGGGTTTCGTAAATTTCGGCAAGCATGGTTTTGTCTAGCTTGTAGACGACAAACCCGCGACCACAAGCACTGTTTCGTATGCTCCTACTACGTGCGACTGCATTTCACAACCACTCAATAAAGAATGCTAAAGATTTCAAAGGAATTTCGTTTGTCCAACTTGCAACTAAGGTGACGTGGTCGAAATCACATTCTCCGTGGCAGCCAGAACGCTTTAAACCGTCAAAGTAGTTGGAGTAGGGCGCCATGTTGGGTGAATTCGTTAATTGCTACAACACAGTGCAATTATCTCCCACACCCCCGCCCTCCCTTTGGATTCATGCTTAGGGGAATAATTGCTGATATAATTGGGCCATGGCATTGGTCGGCAAAATTACAATTTCATGGGTCATAAGATGGTGCTGCTTGACCACTTCGGCGTACTTCCGAGGCACAGGTACGTTGCGCGTTGTGGTCGTTTAACATCTTGCTTCATTTTCGCGTTGTTTACTTCAAATTTACTTAAAGACAGACTTCAGCAACCGGAATTAAGTTATTAGAGCAGTAGGATATTAAAATTTCTGCGTGGCTAGTCCAAAACCGGATGTGATTGATTGTTCTACGGATTTGACAGTGGCTTTCTAGCGCGTCTAATGGTTGTCCAGTCGATCTATATATGATTTGGTATGTTTTAAGTCACGGAGACCAGTCCAGTCTCAAACGACTAGACATTTTTTTTGAATTCTCGGTATTTTTGGCAAATTGGACAAAGGAACAAACATTTTCCATTGGACACTGGGCTCAAAATCCTGTTTTATTCCACCAATGACAGGCCTCATTTTAGCTTGGCTGTTCAACGCGCGTGCTATTTTGCCTCCTGTGAGATGCTCGATTTCAAATTAGACAATATTTCGTGCAAATTTAGAGTTTTTTAACCCGATCACGGTGGGAAATGTGTGTTTTTGCCTAAGCATAGTTGAAATCACGTCTTACCGCATTTACTGGCAAAATAAGACCACCTAATATGTGTAATTCGCTTGATGTTACTGATGCTAGACTATGGCGCAATCAGCTGTGCGTCTGGTCAGTTTTCACAGAAAGATGTCCTGGCATTTACGAAAGACTCACTCACTAATTAGTTAGCGTTGAAATTCATAGAAAATGTGCGTCGTAGGAACAGTAAAATTAAGACAAGTGCGCGTCCAAACACACTACAAATAAGAGAGAGAGAGAGGGCAATTGGCAATTGTGAGTCAAATTAAGAAATCGGTTATCTGATCACAAAGGCGTCGTGTTTTCATGCAGAAAAGTAAGCTAATTTCATTGACTCCATCCTTCTTCTTGGAGTGTAGCTCGTAGGAGAGGGACCGGCTGATCCTTGTCAGTACGCCAGTTAGGCAGGAGAGGTCCCATTGTTACAACCGCACACGCGCACTTGCATTCCGGTAAACAAAATATGGTAATAACGTCACCGCCGCCGCCTTTCCAATATAGTTTACACGTCTCCTTTTTTTTCACTTCCGTCGACCCTTGCTTAAGAGCAGCTCATCCACATTTGAGTGAGCCGTGATCAGGTGCTCTGAGATGCAGCGAGGCAGTGAGTTCTTGCACCTGATCACCTCCCGATATCCCGGTCCACGTATGCGGATCTTGTGGACGACAAAGGTACGCCATTCCGTGGTTTCGTCGTAGAGCTTTATCTGGCAGTCCTGCTGACACTGGAGGCCCTTAAGACTGCGTTCACTTCGCTTCTTAATTTTGGCGTATTCTCCGGTGCCTGCTGTTTGCTCTCTCAAGTAGGCTGTGAGAAACACCTCCCCTGTTTCTATCTGGGTGAAGCCGAATTTCGGACTGGGTTTTGGGGTTACCCATCCTGAACAGGGCTTTGATCGATCTCTCGCAGCCTCCTTTGAAATGCCCTCAATTTTCGCGGTTTTGGGGTCCACCTTGTTCGCGGGTTTCTGGTTGATTTGAGCGGTTTTCGAAGGTCCTGGCTGCTCGGGAAGGGGAATAGTGACATCTTTCGTTGCTTGTACCTGCTCGTGTTTAGCTTTCTTAGTCTCGACGTCCGCCTTCTTAAGCTTAGCAAAATCGACAACAGGCTTCGGGGTACAGCACGACAGGGGGCTGGATGTTGACGACGAGAGTTCTGAAGTACAGAATTCTTCGGTTGAGGTACGCGTCTCACCACCTCGCGGGTCATTCGGTTTCTTCGACAGCACGCTTGACTTTTTCGGTCGCTGTTTGAGGTTTTTGAGAAAAGCGTCAACGCTCGCGCCTTCTAGGGACAAAGAAGACGAAGAGGTGTCGGATTCGTCATCGAAATCAAAAGATCGTCCTCTTGTTAGCGCGTCAAGCGAGTTTTTGACGCCGTGGGCAGCCTTCTCTGTTGATATCTTCCTTACACCACACACTCCTGCCTTACCCGTTGTGGACAAGGCCCTTGTTTGCGACCCATCCGTGCCAGTCTCATCGCCACAGCTTTTGGCCGGCATTCTAAACCCACCCAATTTGGACTCATGGCTGTAGATGTCGCCAGACAGGGGTTGACGAATTGGATTGGTCGACAATTCATTCAACGATAACTGACCCCTGTGTGGATTAGCTAGGTTATTTTTAAGATTGGCGTTATTAAGCAATGGGGAACTAGCGCTGTACACCAGTTTGTTAGAAGATGTGGCAGGAGCGTGGAGTGTCCTTAGATGGCTTCTTTTAACCCTTCCATAGTTGTTTGTGTGGTGGTCCGCAACTGTGTCCTGTAGCTGGCTCTCTTTGGCCCCCATGAAGGCGGCAGGACACAGGGATGTCGTGTGGATTGGGTGCACAGCCACACCAATGCCTCCCTGAGCCAAGTGTCACTATTGATTGGTTCGTTTGAATCACGTGGCCTTCAACGGTCAAAGCGTGTGGTCAGCACGTGGGTGGGCGGAATTTTTATGAGCCAATCAGCCACGCTTCATTCCGATTACCATGAAAGGTAATCGGTAGAACAGGCTAAATGTTTGCTGCTGAAATTCTTTAATTACGTGAGAAGTGTGCTCCGATATTAGTAGAGAGAGGACATTGTTTACGAAAGACGCAACTCTGATCATTTTTCGGAGAATGTTTTCAGGTAGAGGGATTTGAACGGACTTCGCGACACCATAAATCAAGCTTTTGCATAAGTGTTTTCTGTAATTACGTGCATTAAATTGCTTTTAACAGTGTGACTTTTCTTCGAAATCATCTTATGCGTACAAAAGTGGTATTCAACATTTAATTGTTAAAAAACCAATCGATTTTGAACATCGATTTTTTAGGTATTTGACCCTATCCAACCACTTCAGGCCAATGTTGCCTCAGCAGTATTATCTCGGCGTCCTCATGGCTCCATTGAGCTTGAAATTTCACTTTGGCTCAAATAAAGCGAACACCACATAAATTCAGATATAGGCCATAGTGAATTTAAGACGTACGTATGAAGTATTGTGCGACGGTATCATTATTGGCTGCGAAACGGCATCTAACTGACTTCTCGTTAACGCAGTTGAAGTACTATAATTGGCCTAACTTAAATTTCTACTGATCCTAGCTTCATGTCCGATAAGATCCCGCGTAGTAATGTGATTGTCTAAAGACCGAATTTGTAACCAGCAGCACGCTTGGGAGGCGCCAGTTTCCATAAATGTCTCCACCTTTTGCTATGAGGAAGAGGTCTGTTCTCCGCTCCCACGACAACGTCCAGTTGCGTGCTGGACGAGGATCGCTGAAGTCCCGCATTGATGGCCTATTCGTGTTTAGATGAAGTGGTCTGTGTGAGACCCAGAACCTGCCACAGCGGAGGGTTCTACTGAATCCTTGTTGAAGTGTTTCTGACAGGTTCAACGGAACACTGCGTGTTGATGACAGAATTAATCTTGAAACCATCTCGTTTACCTCTGTGGACTCGATCTTGGAGTTGAATTCCAACCATTTTGGTGCAGCAAACGCTGTAGGATTTCAGGATCTGGTGAACTGCAGTCTAAATGGTGGAAATGAGTGTAGTAACGCAGTTGCCGGAATGCAAGAAGCTGAAATTTTCGTGGCATTACCATCTCATACAAACACTTAAACTATCTTGGTGTCAGTATTGCTCCGTTTAGACAATGACGTCACACACCTCTAACGACAGTGGAACGTTTTGATGCGTCTTGTTTGTTTCTGACGCATTGTTTAAGGCCATGAGAGGTAAATTACTATCTGACAGATCGTAGCCAGCCACTTAGCATGCAAGCCAACATTGATCCGAGAGTCATAGTTGCTTGACATAAACAACATGGAACTGACGTGTAAATAACAGCGGTGGCGTAGACCCTTGCAGACAGACACGCCGGATAGAAGAACAGCAGAGAAGATCCGGAACATAAAGAAGTTCACGTGTTATTTGCTGATGGACGAACTAAACGGGGTTCTTACAGAAGTCATTGTAGTAAAACAAAGAGCTACGGGGGAATAACATGACAAATGTTAAATGGCTTTTCCTTTGAACGCTTGTCTTGCAGATAAGCACCCTTGAATGCTACAGTTGGACGAGGAGAGCACTCCAAATTGGATGAGCAACACGAAGCAGTCACCAAGGCGAGGCGTCAGCATGCAGCCCACCGTCAACAGCCCCTCGTTGCAGCAGCACCAGCATCAACAGACTCAACAGAAGGGCTCCTTGCAGTTGTGGAGGTTTCTTGTCACGATGCTCGATGACCCAGGAAGTCAGCACCTCATCTGTTGGGCTGGCCGTAAACTCGAGTTCAAGCTGAATGAACCCGAGGAGGTGAGGAATCGACATCACGTTATCGGTCTTTTCGCAGAGAGTTTTTTGACTGTGTCTTTGAGATTCATTTTAAGGTGTATATTTCCAAAATTAGCAATAGCATTGCTGACAGCCGTTCACGCAAATATCACAGATCAAAATGGCCAGATTCATGCTTTAAGTGCTGTCATTAGCGGCGTATTTGCAGAGGGACTTTGCGGCGTTTTCCTTGAACATTAAAAAGACCATGCTAGACTGCTATTTTCTACTTAAAGGTCGCTAGACTATGGGGCATTCAGAAAAATCGTCCAACGATGAATTACGACAAACTGAGTCGTTCCCTTCGATACTACTATGAGAAGGGCATAATCAGTAAGGTTTCGGGTGAGCGCTATGTCTACCGCTTCGCCTTCGAGCCTGAGGTGTTAGCTAGACTAAGTCTCGAAGACTCTCTTCCCCCCGTTCCACCAACCCGACCAGACGAAGCCTGGCACTGCGATTCCTCTGCTACCCGGGAAGTGGTCTTTCCACCACCACCGCCGCCACCGCCACCCCCTCCTCCCCCTCCACCACCACCACCGCCTCCTGCACAAGTTCCAGTGCAGGAGATCATCTATCAGCCCCAATGGGAAGAACAGATTATATATCCTAACACTTATGACTATGAATGGAGCAATGAGTATCAGGCTTCCAGCGAGCCGAGAACACACAATTTTGTGGCTGGAAATGATCAGCAGTACGAGTACGCTTACATGTACGACCACACCAGCCAAGCTTACTGCACTGAGCCAGATCCTGGAGCGTATGAGTATTATGAGTGTCCTGAGTACTTTTAATAAATTGCATCATGAAAATGATTCCGCCTTAAAATCTCGCTGTCAGCTTAAAAATTTCGCTCTGAAAAACGGGGCAAGTGAAAACTTGTATGTGCTTTGAGTCTTCAGTTGTTTGCGAAAGATCGATCACGACCAATCATAATCACAGCCAATCACAACTGCAACCAACCGAAGGCAACCAATCACAACCATCTTGACATCATTCGCACCTTGCGTACTGAGTTACAACCCCATCGATTGAATTCAAACATGTATTTATCGATTACTTCGTCGTACCTCGTTCCGTTATTGGCAGAGTAGTTAATGTTGGACCTAATACACAGGAGCAGTTCCATAGGAAATCAAAGTCGGATGTTTCGAAAGGTCTAATGCATTCAAAATTTAATTAAAATGGCCATGTAGCAAACAAAGTGTTTTAAATGATATCTGAATTGCGAGAATTCGAGAAGTCGCTCTCCGTAATTTTGAAAGAACATTGACTTGTTTCCTGCTTGTCAGACGAAGCCAATTACACTGCCTCAAGCCTCATAATCGTTCGAGTAGCTGAGATAATTGCGAATTGTTATCTCCGACGTCAATCTTGTATGCGTGAGTAACCCCACTGGGTTAATGGCAGGGGGGAAAACAATTGAATCGCCCTCGCATCCCCTCCCCCCTCCCCCAAGTCCTCACGACTCCGAACGACTTTTTGGCGCAATTTACCAATCATCTTTGTAGTGTGGTACGTCTCCAAAACGGTCTTTGTTAAGTCAAATCCATGGATAATTCATGGAGCAAGTGCCACTTACAGAATCACAAGGACTAGGTGAAGCAAGACGTATTTCAGTGGTTATGGCAAAACCAGCATTGTAGAACTGTTTCGTCAATGCCACCTTACGTCAAACACCAGTTTTAATTACCCGAAACCTGGATTTTCTCAACTTCAGTGATGGCAGGTTGTTCACACAATAAGCACCCTCTGTTTCGAATTTTATCTTGTAGCGGGCCCTGGTGGGGTTTAGGGGATATACACTGACAAGGCCCGACCGAAAGAAGGGGTAAAATGCAGATGGCGTGTACCTCAACTAATTTATTGGTGCAGTGGCAGTGGTGTGTGTGTGCACAGGATAGCAAGTGCGTTTATATAGCTTCGCTAAGCATCGATCTCTGAACAAACGAAAATCGATTGAATCGTGTTCGCTCACGCTTGCTGCCCGCCACGATCTCATTAAATTTCCGTTGAAAGTCTCGATATATCGTCTTGAACCACGTTATTTATTGGCTCGATTAGGTTACACTGATACCCCGAAAGATCTAGAAGATCAGAGGTGACGGACACACAAGGGTTTAATGTGTTGCTGTCGTGTGCGTAGTGCATATCGAACGGAATAATAGGCAAATTCAGTTCGGGTGACCAGACAAGTGAAGTGGATAGCTGGGAGGTAGTGAATCCACAAGGTAAATGAACAGGCGGCTCCGAATGGTTGAGGGTAGGGAGGGGGCGGTGTGCCAGATTATGCGACGGCAGACTTGATGGATGTGCACCAACACGATTCACTCCGGCGTCTTGGCTGGGAGTTGTCTACAAGTCAGCTTCATTTACAGCCTGAATTTCCCGAGCTGGTGAAGTTTAATTTCATCCCAAGAATAAGATGTGCCAAACACTTCCTTGACAATTACGTGCGAAAAGGTTTCAGTTCCAATCACAACAAACGCAGAAGTTGGTGTCAGAGTGAGAAGTGCCCTTTCACTACCTTGGCTGTTATTGATTGGATTACGGGGTGTTCTGTCAACAGATTAAAGGTAGATTTCACCATTGCACCTTGTACCAGATCGAATTTTCAACTGCGCACAAACGAAATCGGAAATAGACCAAGCTTGTTTTCAGAAACATCGACTCGGCTCAATTTTGTAGAGGCCAGAATTTAGCACTACCACAAAACCCTATAAATAACAGCCGGTCACAACGCGAGAAGAGAGAAGACAGAGACGAAAGAGAACACGACCGTTTAGTCGCGTCACGCCAATCAGGTAGAGTAACTAATTCTTGTGTGTGTGTGTGTGTCTGTGTGTGTGTCTGTGTGTGTGTGTGCGTGTGTGTGCGTGTGTGTGTGTGTGTGTGTGTGTGTACAGGATAACGGGTGTGTTCGCATGGCTTCCCTAAGCATCGATCCCTGAACGAGCAAGGTTGGGTGAAGTGCATTCACGAAAAAATCGATTGAATCGTGTTCCCATACGCTTGCTAACTACGTTCGCTCACGAATGCAAACTGTGCTGGCTTGCTGATCGTCACAGTATAATTTAACCAACGAACCAGATTGAGCGAGCACTTTGAAACATAAAGCGTGTTTACGTCGCCTGACAGACGCTGATCCACTTCATAAGTAAGTGAAATGCTGCGAGACGCGAAGCATTCAAGTCAACTAATAAAACTCCACGAAGGATCGTCGAAAGTGGTTTACTAAATGGAGACGTGACACCGAATTCCCCCATTTGAGGAGATTGTGTTACGGTGCGCCGGCGAGCAGATGCAAAACCCTCAGCTTAAATTGTTGCACGGAGAGCATTTACTGTCCCGTTCAAAGACGCGCGCCCACTTGAATATGGCATAAGTGGCCTTGAAAGCATGTTAAAGCAAAAGTACGCTTAAAGGTGTACGGGCCAATAGGAGGGAGGCGGTCGATATGAATACCCAAAAAGGTATGCATAAACTCGAATGAATATTTTAAAAGAAAAAAGTCAAATTCTTGAAAGACATAGTCTTGAGGATGCTTAATCCTCAACAGATTCGTAACTTGATGTTTTGGTTGAGGAAACCATCTCGGAATCGAGTTCCTGAAAGTGATAATGTGCACAAACCCATCTCAAATTCTTAAGACCACTGTATTCAAAGTCACTTGTTTCCTCATCTGGCTTTGCTCTAATTTCCCACTTGCTCTTAGTATCTCAAATTAAGAAAATGTAGATGCAAAATAACGAAAGAACTGGAGAAATTGTACCTTTGAATTCCCCGAAGAATGGTGTCAGACACAACGTCATTCAAAACTGTGCATATTGCTGAAAGAGCTTGATGAAACTAAAATCGACAGTGGCTCATCTTCGACAAACAGAACCCTACACTCACAGCCAAAGTGCAGACCCACCTAGCTCAGCCAATCCTCTGTCTTTGTATGTGTGACTGGGGTACTTAGAAGATCGGCAGCCAATCAGAGACAAGGATGGGTGAAAAGCACTGGACAATATGCAGAAAGAGGTGTAACTGATGGGTTCTGTAGTGAATCGTAATGATTTACGTCTGTTGATCTGGTTGCTGCAGTTCACCCCTGAAGGACCATCTGTCCTCACCCACATTGGTGCATGTACCTTCCACGCTCTTTTGACCTTTCTGACCATTCAGTTATTTGTACGTTAACTATTTCACGGTCTGCGTTGACAAGGCCATGTATTTGCTTCTACTAAACTACAATCATACTGTTAACAGACCACAACATCGCGAGAACAGAGACAAGACAGACGAGGTCGGATTCAGACGTGCGGCGATAAGCAAGCGAACATTGTTAACAAGCTTGAGCAAGCAAGGATTCAACCGATAGTCTTGAGTGCACCTCTCGTCATCATGGTTGTTCAGAGATTGATGGCAATCGTGTGTGGCGATCAGCGCGTGGGCATTGGTTAATAAGCGTGAACGATTAATAATTCGGGCTAAATTCAAATCAGTGGCTTGGGCGTAACTTGACACCACATGCCAGGGTCCAAAACGAGCGTTTACTAGCAACAGAGCACCCACTTGTCTTTTTTATAAGCGTGCGTCAGAGTGAATATCGATTGTCAACTGCAATCACCATTTTATGACAACCAATCAACTCGCGAATAAGCCTTACTCGCGACCAATTCACAACGACCTTGCCAATCAGGCAAAATACGTCATCGATTAAGTGCTGTGAGCTGATTGGACGCAGACACATGGACAGCTCTTTGGGGAATTTTTTTAGTCTCTAGATACAAGTGATTCGTTGTCCTAGGCTTCATTGCATTGTAGTAGTGTGACGATGGTCTTCATAAGTATCAGTATCATAAGTGTAGTTCAAGAGCGCCAAGGTCATGTGAGTACCCGTAAGAGCCTAGAGAAGTCCGTGCGTGAACTGGGTCTTAACAACGGATGTAATGAGACACACGATGACACACTCTGGATACAGCATGCGCCTGGTTGCTTATTTGGGAATCAGTAGTATTCTCAAGCAAAGAAACGGTAATTTTAACACTTCTCTTCGCTCAATTTAATCAGAATAAAAACGGCATTCAGAATGGTTGCAACGATAATGAATAGAGAGACGATTAGGCTGCTGCCAAATCCGCAAAATCGTCCTAGAACCATCTCCACAAAGGCCGTTCGACAATCCTAAAGCAGCAAAATAAGAATGTCATGGAACAACAATCAACAATGAGTGAACAGGGTTTTTATTGGGAAGACTGTTTATTTCGTGGTTTTCATCATCATTCGCTCTTGTGTACACCATTTCTTTGAATTCATATCGGCCGCCTTCTTCCTATTGGTCCATTCACACTTGAGTGCACTATTTCTCTTATCCGCACTCAGGGAGGCCTTACAGCGTGGTAAAGAGGCGTTATGAATCGTATTGGTACATCCTCGTTAATCTGGTCACTTCAGCCTCCGACACAAGGTCCCTCAACTACCCCCTCATTAGCGCGAACGATTATCCAAAATTATCCTCCCACCTAGATCTCGATGTTAGCACATCTCCGATTTACACATCTGATGTATAAATACATAAGCGACACAACGACACCAACACGGTTGAGCTCTGAAGTAAACGGTTGTGTCCACGTCCTCTCCGGTCTTTTTCTTCATCGCGGGTATCAGGGAAGCCTAATCGGGCCAGGGTTAATTCAGTGGCCCTGGCGCGAACAATCATTTTCCTCACGAAATCTTGTTCATTCACCCGTGGTTAGAAAACACCATTAGATTTTCTGGAATTGTTTCAACTTAACTGACTAGAAGAGCCTTCTTTATGTGAATCCCGTTGGAATTTTCAAGACTTCCAACTAATGCTATGTACTCACCTTCGTATAGGCAACTCCCAGTGTGCACGTCTGACTAAGATTTCGGCAACAGCCAACAGATAGGGAGTCGCTGGGGTAGAATGAAGTTCCGTTGAAGCCGCAGCATTCTAGCTTCAAAGGGGAATGACAAAACCGTGAGTACAAAAAAAGTCAGCTTACCTGATTCTCTAGCAGGAATACCGCCTCCATGTCTTGAATCGTAGCTGCGCCTTTTGCGAAGACTTCCTTCAAACTGGTGTCGATCCATTCATGCAACTTCGGAGTATGAAGGTAAAAGGCAGTGTTTATCGTCAGTGCAATTAGTTTCCACAGCAACTAGTCTAAAAATGTCTTTCGCGATTTCTCTTTTACCAGTTGAACGCGAGGTCTTGTGTTTAAAATGTTACTTAAACCGTCACCGAGAGTAGTGTAGGACTGGAAGTAATCGTTAGTGCCACCTACCTGTCTAGGTCGAAGTGTCAACAGGAGTAATTCCACGGCGACGGTTAGGACGAAAAGCGCCATCAACCCGAGAGACGCAACGTACTAAAAAGGGGGAGTTGAGGTGTGCGTTGACACGTACAGTAATGAGTCCAAAATGGCCGCGCCCTTTGATGCATTTGAGTCCCGCGAGGCAGACGATTAGGCCAAGTGAACCGGTCATGAAAATGAGAACAGGCAAACCGGTGAATCGGTAGCGTGGTGCCTCGATTATGTTATTGAGAATGAACGAGAGCACAGTGCCGACCACAATGCACCACCAGAAGACACACTAGACCGAAAAGGAAAGAAAGGTAAGCCAATGAGCACAGTTCTGAGTACTGGTATGTGCTCGAGTCCCACCTGGACCCTAGTTGATATTTTGGATGCTTGAAGGGTTAGGCAAGGCAGCCAAACCCGGTCTACCAGGTGTCAACGATGCAAAGGAGACCCAAATGCCTACTAGATGGCTCAACTCATTTGTGAGTTCATGGGGCAATTTGTAGGGACAAATGCGTATTTGGACGTGTCCGATCCGACCATGAGGACGGGGACACAATACAGACCCACAGAGATGATTTATAACCCAGACGTCTGGCTGCGTACGTCACAGAAGTGAGGAACTTGAGTTGACACAATTCATGGCAACACCAGACAAAACAACATTCTGGTTAGCTGGACTGTAATTGGTTATCTAGCAGCAGGTAAGGCTTATAAGTTAAGTGAAGATCACACAGAATCAGCAAATAGATTTTACGTAAGAACATGTTGGTGTCTGAATCACCTACACGGAAAGCATCAGGCCATGTAGGAATGGAGGTGGTACGTGGAAGAGGACCTTGGAAGCCCTTGCTCGCTTCGGGACACCGTGGATGCCTTTGAGCAGTTCCCACGGGGTGCACAGACGCCTGATGCAAATTAGCCAATTCAATGGTCAGATCGAGCTACTGATCTGTTTGTTTTAATGCCGTGAAGATGCAAATTCCTTGTGCAGAATGGAAGCACCATCACTAACTGCATAGATTACCGTAACCTACTGCTATGTTTGTGGTATTTTAAGATCCACAATTAGCACAGGGATTCCAGGCACCCAAGTGCTCCGCACCTCAATCAATACTGGTTCCTACTAGGACCTCTGTTGATTCAATGCTTGACTTTTGATCATCGAGCACTAAGTGCCAACGTCCAATAAAAGTTCACTGATAACTGCGGGAGAGTCATTCATTGTGGATTCATCAAAAAGAATATCAATCCACAAAAATGAAGGCAAATTTGATGTGTTTTTTGTCGTCTGCCAGTTGTTGCATTGTGGTCAGACGGAGACCAGGATTCGCCTCATCTAGAGTGAACCAACAATCATCAGATGACTGACAACAGTCATATGTTGACTAAATCAAATATTACGTGGGAACTTGGGAAGGTAGTGCGTTGGTGGCAGTTGACTTCATCTCAGAAGTCTGTTCTAAGCCCTGTAAATGAGGCATTTCGGTCTGTAGGAAATAAGTTTGTCCAAAATCTTCATTTATTTTTAAAGATACAAAAGCTCGCGTTAAGTTTCTATAACCATTTTAAATTGCACCGCTTTGAAATGCAAGAATAATGAGGTGGGCAATGTACACGTGGTAAGAGAGTAATTCTTACAATTGTCATGGTGTTCAGCACGACAGCAGTGGTCTGTAGCCATCCCAATTTTAGTCGAGAAACAGCAGTAGCGTATAGGCGACTTGCTCTGGACTTGTTAGACTGCATTTGGATGTTCTCAGGCTCCATCTTGGTGCAACGGAACCAGCAGGCCAGTGAATTTTAATCGTTGTCGCGCAAACAACTGACCTAATTTGCATGTGAGTGCAACTGTGATGTCTCTGAGTGGTTGTACGTTCGCACACACAATAGTATGCTGCCCTAACCAAGTACCCACGACCAAAGTAACTTCTTGATTCAACCCCTAGAAGACAGGAGTGGGTATTTACAAGCACTTCCATTATGAAAATCACAATTGAAAATCTGTTCAAGACATTTTAGTAACGGATAATGGAAGAATAATAACAGTGAGGTTTGGCGAAAGCACTGGAATGGTGTGATGTATTCGGCAGTGCGATCTGTTGAAAACTGTTCGTATGAATGTAGAAAATAATGAATTTTAATTGCAATTAACGCGGAAATTGCCCTACTAGTAAAGAAGTAGGAGAGGGATATAAAAAAAACAATATTTGGCGCCTCTTCAATCGTTGAAGAGCAAACGGATATGCTCACAAAATAATATGTTAACTTCGTGTGTATGGACATGTTGTGGGGCCCAGCATGTGGTCTCAAGCCACACCGGGGCCACTGAGTTGAATCTGGCCCGATTACGCTACTCTGCTAGCTTAGGCCAGCTTCACTCGCCGTCCTTTGCCGACAAGTCACTATAGCCAGACCAAGCAAGAAGATAAAGACCATAGATAACGAGGAACTAAATTAATATGTATATTGCCAAAGTGAGGACGCGGTGTCTTAGTGTGACACGTCATCAGTTTATGTGGCAGCGCCGGACATTCTGTCTCTGAAGAAATGGTGCTATTTGAAGCACATTCAAGGTAATCAGCTGAGTGTTTACATGTTGATTTCCATAATGAGGCCAATGGCTATATTTTGTGGCTTGTACTTGGTGCGCCTACCAAATTCTAATGTGGAGCAGCACCAAACCAATTTAGTGTTTGACAAGAAAAAGTTGGCAAATGGTGAGTAGAATATACAAAGCATCGTTTGCCTTGTACATTAACTAAACGAGTGGTGTGTACATGTGTCTCTCTAAACAAAACATACTATTCCCTGAAAGTATAGCCAGCGCGATATCAAATATGACGTCTCGCGAGGTATTAGATCTTCTTCTGAGGACGTAACTGCGATTGAGCCAGTTTAAAAAAGTGCCTTCTCATCACTTCAGAAAAAGTGTAAAAAAATTGGATCAGGAACCGTTATCGGGCATGCCAAATCCTATTAATCTTCTTCCGTGGTGACGCATTAAAGACCTGTCCAGGAATACTGATTGTCGCAACTGACCCCATTTCTGGTAGGCAGCATCTCAAGTCCATTCTCAGCCGATAAAATTCCCAGTAAAATCCATGTTTAAATTTTAACCAGAAAAATATGCGCCCAACAAAAGCCCTAACAGTAGCCTTCAGTTGACTGTCAAAATAATTTACCATTCGAATCAACTTGGAGTGATCAACAATGGTTCGAATGCATATCGTGGTTAATAGGTGGGTAAAATTTTAAAAACATTCATTGACTTGAATGTTGGCTTTTGTTCCTGTTACCCAGTGAGAGACAAATATTCTAAAATAAAGAATTTGCCTCTAATTCGGTGATAAAATCTTTAATAGGAAAGGCATTTTGTACAGATGCAAGTTAAAATATCAAAGGATCTAAAGCCTAACAATTGTGACACTGAATTATACTTTAAAACTTACGAGAAAATAAAGTGTTGCATCATAAAATGCTTAGTGGTCTGTTTAGCATGTCAGTGTTTAATCCAATTAAATTATCCATGAAAACGAAAAAAACATTTATGTCATTAAGTACAAAAGAATAGATCAGTTACTATTTTCAAAATTTTCACATTGTAAATAGGAATACAAACAAACTTTTCGCCACTTAGGTTGATGGACAAACTGTGGAAAAAAAACAAATTTCTGTAGATGGATGTGTCAAGATTATGAAAATGTGAAAAATCAATAAATTCACGAATCCCGATTTAAAATTTCATCAAATCAAAGTAAATATAAAGATACAATAAAGGCTTAACCCTGAGCAATGATTAAATTGGTACAGAATAATCAAACTGTACTAAAATAATGATTTGCTACTTGAGTTCTGCCGTGTTTTAGTTGCCCATGTTGTTCACTGACTCTGTGCGCCTTATCTGATTATCGATTCTTTGACACTTTTCAGCTACAGCGTATACTGGCCTAAATCCTCAGTTGTAAGGACTTTTGTTTCTGTTTTGTTATACCGAGAAGTAGACATATTTTCGTTTCTAACCACTAAAGATGTCTTTTGTTTAGTTAGAAACTGCAATATATGTGAACTTTGTGCCAAAATAAATTTGACTACGTTAACTTAACCTCTTTCGTCAGCGTCCGAGAACTAATTATATTTCTGAAATTGTTATGCTTTACCAAACTGCCCTTAAAAAGGATCTTATGCCCCATTGCCATGCTTTCTGCCCGTGTTTAAGTCTTATTGTCGATTCTGAAAGTACCTTTTTAATTAACCTATTTGCGTAGTTGAGTGAAAGCGTCACCTTTCGTTACCTGTTGGCAGTGAATTGCTACTGTGTGTCGATTTTATGACAAAAATTGGAAATTATAAATCCTGTTTTTTTGAAAACCACGTCTTGTTTAAGCGTAAAAGGGAACTCGGGTTGGTTCCTCGTGTTTAACAGTTAAACTTCTTAGTCTTTAGTGTTATTAGTTTTTCTTGAATTTGTTATATAAATTAAGCGCAAGTAATTTATAATTTGGTTTGTTATCGCTTCCGCCTAACGAATCATCGTCTAATCCACAACGCGAAAACCTTTAAAGTCTGTGACTGGTTTAGACGTTCTAAATGTCATTCACCGATAATATTCAAAATATAATCATTTCGCCTATGTTAATTTGTACAATTTTTTTTTTATTTTTTTCGTCTTGTACCTTGTCCCTTTTTTGAGAAGTCATACTGAAACCGATCGACTTGAAATAATACAGCACAGCATGAACGCTTCCTTTAGCATTATCGTTCTTTTTTCTTAGAAACACAGCTTTTTATTGTTTTAGGGAGTCGGTACCAGTTTCAACCGCTGCTTTTTGATCCATGGATTGTACCATACCATCGCGAGAATTCTTTGTGGTAAATTACCCCGGTATAGTTAAAAACGATGAACGTGCTCTCCAGACCCTGGGAGGGATGCAAGAGCTCAACAAGGTAATTTGTATTATTGAACAAACCCTCCATTTTTGTTTCCCTGTTAATGGCGAAATTTCATCCCCTTATATGCAGAATGTAAATCACACAGGCTTTTTTTGAGGTAAAACAAGATTTATTTATTAAGGACTGGTATATTGTATGATGCAGTCATGTCCACAAGCGTCACTAGTTGAGATAAGGTTTGTAGCAAATTTATCACAGAATTCTAAAAGTTGTTGTTACTGCAACGTAATTGGTGTTAAGTGGGTCAGTTTTCTCAGTAGGTATTGCGTGTAACGCCAAACCTATACTTTATTTTACTTTTCAACTGATTGCCTCCAGGGGACTAAATTGTGGCTCAATAAACATTATGTACCTCGTCAATATCTCGGAACATGACGCCATTTTTTAGTGTTACTCTTATTGGATCACCATAAACGGTTTGATCAACCTCGTTTTAATGTTTCTTTTTTCATAATTTGCTCTTATACAATTGAACACAATTAATTTTGGTGATTGCACGCTCCAAAAGTACACATCCTTTGTAAAACCGCGGGCACATTTTTTTGTTTTTAACCTACCTGGTTTTCCCCAGCACTGACCTCAAGTTTAGTGCACTGTACTTTCAAATTTCACGCAATTTCTATTGTAAATTCTCTTGCGTCGTTGTGTGAATTAATCTTACATGGGGTAGAGCGTTTCTGTTGCTCTGATTGCCACTAACACCTTCTACTACTAACCAGACATTCAACTCCATCACACGACGCCTGCGGCTCACATTCAGGCCTGAAATGCTCTACGCCAAGCCAGTTTACGGCGACCCCAGCCCTCGAACGGCCCTCATTATTCGCGCGAGGCAGCTCAAAAACAGACGGACCGGGGAGACCAAGGTCGTCACTGAGGTGCTTGGTGTGGGCTCGCGGGTGTACAATTTCACCGGTGAGTCTGGTCGTGCCTCTTGTGGACGCTGTTAGTGAGTTGACAGGAAAGCAAGTGAATTTGTTCTTCTGTGCGAATTTATGCCGATAGCGCACTATACAGCCCCACGTAATTCTCGGCACAAAGCTGAACCAATTGAGATTTCCGACCATAATCGTTAGCTCTCGGCATCACTGTCTACAGGTTGTTGTTGATTATGCGCGAGCCTTTCATTGCCCTGGTGGAACGCTATTTACTCTGTGATCATCTCCTTATTCTTCGATTGCTCCTTAGTCCGGTTTCCTTGGAAACGCCTCAGAGCACACAGCACCTTTCTAATCACATTTACTTGGCAGCGATTCAGCTTTAGCTGTGATTCTTGCACCTGCTTCACACTCAGACCATGATTGTGTTCGGTTGATGTCAGTGAGCATTGTCTATATTATCTTACCAGCGATGATCTATTTAAAAAAGGGTCACTTTTAAATGCATTTGAGGTGCACACCACAAACATCGATCGATTATACTAATTAAATTCAACTCACGTGAACGGGCCTTGGTGCCAAAGGCATTTAAAGTGTTTTTTATTTCTTATGTGTGTGTGTGTGTGTGTGTGATATTATTAAACCGTCGGCAGTCCGTGATTAAGATTTAGTCTTGATGTGGTCATCAGGAACGGAATTTCCCTAAATCAAACCTGACACGTGTTCCCCGTTAAACCCCGGCAGTTTATTGGCTTCACCATAAACAGTGTTAGCTGGATAGACGCTCGGCGTGTGTCCACCTAAGAAGGTATTGCTCAATCCTCATTGGCTGATTGCGTGTGTGTGTGTGTGGTGTTTAGCCATGGCCGACTTCCAGTACGGGCCATTCGAGAAAGTCGCCACTGATGTTGACGCGGCGAGTGACTTTCGTGTCTTCTACGACCGACTGACGGTGCGCGAGCCCGTGCGCGTGCTGGACCCCCACCTCAAGGCCACCGATGTGCCCCTCTTCCTCCCGCCCCTCAGCTTCACCCGACTCGATCAGCCAACCATGTACTGCTTCTCGTCGCGATTTCGAATGAACGAGTACGTGGAGCTGGAGAACAGGAGTCAGCTCCATCCCTACCGTGCGTATTGATTACTTACTCCGTTGAAGTCTTAACAGCACCACGTTGTGAGCCGATCAGATTTGTGGTTTTTCTCCGTCCCGTGTCTGTAGATCGGAAGGAGCGCAAGAGTTACGCCGTCTTCGTCAACTTTGGCGAGCCCACTCCCGCAGCCGCTCATCCCGGTGCTCTCCAGACTATCACGAATTTAGGCACGCAGACTCGGAAACTGGCGCACGACGTTGAAAAGGTCAGTAGCTTCGCGTCCCGTCTAGTCACTGTTTTGAGCCTAGCCACGTGTAGACACCACTTTCTTCTCCACAGCTATTCCAACGACGTCCGATCTGGGGCAAGGCGGCGCTGATCCACAGCTTGAATTGGAAGCGAGTTCGGGAGTGCGCTATCAAGACTATTCTACCCGCTTACGCCTACTACGTGCCCAATGGACCGTGGGGTCGCGTGTGGGTCCGTTTCGGCTACGATCCTCGTGTTGAGCCCTCCTCTCGCATCTACCAGGTACCCGATTTGACTTCTGAAAGGGTGTCCTTCACTTGAGCGTTGAGTCGGACGTTCACAATTCCCTGCCACCTGCTTGTAGACTGTGGATTACCGTGTGCGTTCGCCGCGGCTGCAGGCCAAGCTGTTCGGATCGGGTCGAAGGCAGCGCTCAGAGGCGCGCGGGGACTCGGATTTCTCGGGTTCAGAAGTCGACGAGGCCAGAGACGCGTCCGTCTTCGACGCCTCCCTGGCCGCCGTCCACTTGGGCGAGGCACCACCGACTAGTGCGTCGACGAAAAGCGTGAGTCACTGCCCCCCTCCCCCAGGCCTTCCTTTTCTGGTGCTCCGCGCAATTCACGTCATGTGATGCCAACTGTTATGCTTTTTTCCTTCGCAGACGAGTGCCTTCCGCTTCAGCAAGACAAGTTGGCCCGACGCCAGACAGATCCTCTACCAGCTAGTGGACATCGAAGTGCCCGAGGTGGTGGAGATGCTGGCGGCGCCTGTTTCGCGGACAGTCTGCGACTCGGTCTACGGCTGGATGCCTGCGGATTACCAGAAGGACATCCGCGAAATTATGACCCGCTACCTCGAGATGTGGGCCCTCGGTGAGAGTCACGTTTCGCTGCCTCGTTCCTTCGCCCGCCACGACCGCTAGCCTGCGCGGTGTCCAGTGTCGGCGCCTCCAGGTACAACTGCCAACACGCGTCTCACTTTCGCCACTTCGACATTCACTCGCGAGTGTTGGGCGATAATTGGCTAATTAAACACCAGTAGCACAGGAAGGCTGGGCTGACAAGCGGTTCTATCTCAAAGGATCATCATTCGCAAATACGCCATAGTTGCATCGTTGCGTGCTTCCATGAGTTCAATTCTCATGCTCGGACGTCCGTCAGTGTTGAGGTGTCCCTCTTGGCGCATTGCCCAATGGAAATTCGAATACATACGAGTGATTGGCAGCGATATGTTTTGGTTGTGTTGACATAAAACGGCTTGTGACCCGAAGGCAGTACACGATGAGGTAGCCTGCGTAATCGTAAAACGTTAGAGGATCCCAAAATAGCCTGGTCAATCAGTTGCATCGGTATAAATGCCTGTTTTGATAGGCTCATGGGTGACCAATCAGACGGTAGTTTCCATAGTGACCGACACGCCTTGTCAGTCAATGATATTGCCAGCAGCTCAATGCCGCCTGATTTGAAACCCGCTGTAGCCTCTGAGAGGGCGCGTGGGGGACCCAAGTGGGAATCACTTACAAAAGCCGTAGACAAGGTGTGATTTGTCTCCCACTTATCTTTTCCTTCTAGACGAAATTCTTATCTTCAAATTTCTTATTTCAAAACATTTTCCCTTTTAGCCTTCGGCCAAGTTGTCCTAGATCTTGTAAAAATGTTTCTTCACATGTCGCATTGTATGCTTTTTCATTTTTTCTAAATGTGCAATCATGTACTTGCAATAAAGTCCACTACTTTGTTCTGACCGCCGTTTTTTACACCTCACTCTAACAAACTGTTTGCGCTCATCGATCTTCTAACGCACGTTATGGAATTCACAGTAAGGGTGCGCTCGCTTGTGTTGACGTATCTCCAATCTGCATGTTAAGCCATCATTGGTTTTGTAGAAACAAGATCAAACCTAAATCCATCTAGAATTAGGGCTTCCATTACCAACGGGTGCACTTTGTGACTGATCCCTGGTTGTGTGTGTGTGTTTGATCGCGTGTGTGCGTGTCAGTGTGTGTGTCTATGCGTGTGTATGTGTGTACGTGCGTGAGTGCGTGTGTGTGTGTGAGTGGTATCAACTTTTCAAGTAGGGCCTGAGGTGCATTTTAACTATTGAGGCATAAGTCAGCCATGCAGATTCAGGAATTGTTTTGTCGGTAGTGAACATGACCTGTTACTCCGTCTAGGACTCTCAGTAATGGTGATATATTGCTTAGAGCCCTGCGTATGGTTGTGTTGGATTCGTAGATTGACCCTTTTCTGAGATTAGCCGCCACCACTGTGTTTAGATGGAGTGCGAAGGTGACATTCCACTTCAGTTGCCTGATCAGTGTTTCATGGGAAGGTCGATGGGTCGCAGAGCCTTCGTTGTGAGCAAGCACGCTCCCTGCCACGGTCGCGTTCACTCTGATGTCGTCGAGACTGCCAACTTCTCGGTGCTGTGCGAGTACACCTCGGCCGCGATCAATCCTCGGCCGAACTGCATGGCCGTGCAACGCTTCCACCACGCTGGCCGGCCTCAAATGCTCGCCTACGGCAGCGGTAGAGTTGTTTGCCTCGGTCTGGAGGTCAACAATGACATGCGTGTGTTCAAGACGCTGGCGGCACAAGCGGACACAGTCACATGTGTCGCGTGGATTGACTCCTTCAAGGGACCTACCTTCAGCAGGTTCCGCAGCCTCCTCATCTCCGCCTCGTCTGATGGCAAGTCGCGCACTCCAACACGCTCTCGTGCTAATTCCAGCCTCAACGTGGAACGAACATGCTCCATGTGCTCGTTTTAGGCAGCATCAAGATCTGGGACGTGGATGAGGGCGCGCAACGCGAAGTCGCATCCTTCAGTGTCTCCACGTCAGTCGCCTGCGTGCATGGCTGCTACGTGGACGAATCCGAGACGCGGGTCGTGGTAGGTGCGGTGAGCCAAAACACGGTCTTTGGGTGGAGCCTGACGATCACCTACGACACAGACGGCGCCGTGGCCACGATGGAAGAACAGCCAGGCGGGGCGTTCCGCGTCGACCAGGGGTCTGACTCGTGTCTGGCGTTGCGTCTCGTCTGCCTACCGGGGCCGATGGTTCTGCTCTTCGTCGGAATGACGACGGGCGGCTTGGACGTGTGGATCGTGAAGCCGGATGCGTGGGAACCGAGCCACGCCGCCACCCTGCGAGGCCACACCGATTGGCTTACCTGCGTGGACTGCGTGAAGATGTATCCGACGGAGGACGATGCCGCGTCTGGGGTCAGTGGACACCACGCCTTGGTGGCGACGGGTTCTCAGGACAACCACATTCGTGTCTGGCACATTCAGCTCTTTGAGGGCGCGCAAAAACTCTCTGGTGAAAAGGTTGGTTGTTTCTTGCGATTAAAACCATGGTAAATCCGCTTTTACCAAGTTTATAAAGTGATTTTTTACAGGCTTTTTGCAATACATGTAGTGAGACTTAACTTCCAAGTTGTTGAAGTTGTCCCATTTGGTGCAAACATTCGCAAATAGGTGTTTGGATGACTCCTAACTGAGCTGCTGCAAGCTCTTGTTGCGTTTGCGTTGAGTCTTCGTCCAGTAGAGCTTGCAACTGCGCATCTTCCAACTCTCCAGGCTGCTGTCCGGGTCGCAGGCTGTTCACTGCGATCGAAATCATAGTGGACACACCGTCGACACCAAGAACACCACAACCTCATTCCTTGTTGCTGGATTCCGTATAAAAATTCAGTGCCACCGATTGTGCTCTTTATCAGTTGTCATCGTTAACTCCGCTGTTCTGAGAGGTTGTGTAACTCACGTCGACTTCTCGTTCGGTGTTCTGAAACCCTTTGCATCCGATCCTTTCAAAACAGCAGAAAACCACAAAGGTATCTATAATAATCAAGTCATAAACGCAATATTTTTAATCAGGGTGCACAACTGGCCCTGCCCGCGCCCTTTTCCGCCACCCACCGACTGCTCGCGCGGCTGGAGAGCGTCATCGCGGGTCACGACAACTGGGTGACGGGTTTGGCGTGGTCCCCCGTGTCGTGGACGCCCTCTTCTCGTCCCCAGCTGCTCTCCTCCAGTCGCGACAAGTCCCTCATCATCTGGGCCCCCTCTCGACCACTGTTCAGCCAATCACCTGGCCCCAGAGGCGACGATGACCTCGACATGTGGCTGGAACAGGCGAGATTCGGAACTGTTGGCGGCAACCTCCTTGGTTACCATGGCTGCGCGTGGGGCAACTACAACAACGAGGTCTTTGGACACGGCTTCTGGGTGCGTAGAAGTGGTGGCTTGTAGGTCTCGCCTTGAGATTGTGTTTGTGTCTTGAAGGCGTCTGCCTTCTAGGGTGACCTCTCCATTTGGTCGACTGAATCGGAGCCCCGTATCACGCTGACTGGACACTTTGGTGCAGTCACGAGTCTGTCGTGGTGCCGCGATGTCGTCGATGGTGTCCCACTGAAGACGCCTGAGGCGTCTCACAGCCTCGACTACCCAACGTACCTGTTAACTGCCAGTCGAGATTTCACCGTCCGTCTTCATGGTCTGTTCTACACCGAAGGAAGCGGTTGCAATCCGCCAGGTGGGGAGAAAAACATGCCTACTCATATATAGTTAGTAGTGTATTAGTTAAATGCGTTCATTGATTATGCTTACTCAGTTATAGTTAGTAGTGTATTTAGTTAAATGCTTTCTTTCATTTTGTTGCAGTGCAAATGTGGCGCGAACTCGCGCGTCCCCAGGTGCACGGCTACGAGATGAACGATGTAGTCAGCCTGGACGCAGTTCGCTACGTGTCGGCGGGTGATGAGAAAGTGGGACGTGTGTTTTCCGCGACTAGGGGCTTTGTTGAAAGCACGCTCAGCGACGCCACGATTGTTGCTCATCCGAGTCTTCAGTCATTGGCTGCTGGTAGGTTCTTTCACACTTGATTGGCTGCTGGTAAATTCTTTCACACTTGATTGGCTGTTGGTAGGTTCTTTTATACTTGATTGACTGATGGTAGATTCTTCCACACTTGATTGGCTGATTGTAGATTCTTACACACTTAATTGGCTGCTGGTAGATTCTTTCAGACTTGATTGGCTGTTCGTAGATTCTTTCAGACTTGATTGGCTGTTGGTAGATTCCTTCACACCCGATTGGTTCAAATCCTCAACGCTGTTCCAATGTGTTCGATCCAATCGGACAAAGCCTTGTCACATATCCATGGTCCTTCTTGTGAATGTTGTAGGCGCAGTTCAGCCGGCGTTGGGTCTTTCCAACCAAGCCGATGCTGGAGGAGCGGATGACGACGGTGGACGGGGTGATCGTCTTGGTGTAAGTTCGGCACTTTCTTCAAAAAAAAGTGGACTGTTCGAGTCGGTGGCGTCTTTCAACGCGTTGCATGTTGTGTTTCCTTTCAGAATCCACTTTACCCGCCAACTGAGGCCGCTCTCTCTGAGGCGACTCTATGGACAGAAACCAACAAGCTCTACGGTCACGGCTACGAGGTGAGGTGTGCATTTGCACTTTCACAGTAGACCAAACGTCCAGTCTCGTGATTGGCTATTGCATCTCCACCATAATTGGACTTGTATTCTAATGGCTGTAAATAAAGGTAATAGCTGAAATGCAAAGTGCAAAGTGCCTGAGCATGAGTTTATAGAAAATATGAACAACAGGACATGCTGCGTAGTGGCCCTTATCGATCCCTATCTCTGATTGGGCGCTGGTCTTCAACTTGGGATTGGCTGAACTCGGCGGAACCCAGTATGGCTGCGTCCGTTTGCAACACTGCTGTAGAATACTCCAGCTCTAGAATGAAAAAAACCGGTACAACAGAACAGGCTTTATTGACCAATCACAAGCCAGAATCCGAGTCCGCCACGCTGGCTGCGCCGCCCATAATGCACCTCATTCGTGTCTGTTTCTGGTTGGCTGCCTATCTTCCTTGCATGCCATTGGAACGCAGAGGGACACAGGATTGGCTGAGGCCAGGTGGTCCAATGTGTCTGCGCCCTCAGACGGCGCCACACCACGTGTGCGTGTAAAAGAAGACATGTCTACGATACTTTAATTCGTGGATAAACAAGGGAAAATGAGTAGTAAAACAAGGCGAAAAAATTAGAATGACATCTTAAATGTGACAGTGTTCTTCTGCTTTGATTTTTATTTCAGTCAACTGTGTAATACTCCAGACATCTTCTCAATTCCACAAATAATGGAAATGAAAAATAGTAAAAAATGCGACCCGGCGTCATCGTTTTAAATATTGTCTTTATCAAGTATTTTCCCCTACTAACTGAATGTCAGTAGCTTGAATTTCAAAGTTAATATTTCTCATTTACACAGTCCTGTGTACATACTCTGTTCAATGTCCTCATTCACCTACCATAGGTGTATTGCCTGGCAGCTCACCCCAAAGGCTCTCTGGTTGCGTCGGCGTGCAAGGCCTCAAAAGAAGAGTTCGCGAAGGTCTTCCTTTGGCGGACGGACACCTGGCAAGTTCATCAGGTAACACTTGCGTCTCTGCCTCTGTGCCCTTTTTTTCTCACCTTATCTTTGGCGTACAACATTTTGAAACATTCTACTTTTTTAAAAATAAAACCGTCTACTCACTACAAAATAGTAGCACGTTATTTTCGAATTCGATAGCTCTGCACTTGTCAACTGTCGGAGATTAAGACGCCACGGTTTTTGCCTCCTTTAGCACCTCCCCTTCCACCAGCTCACCGTGACCCAGATGCGCTTTGACTCGACTGGGGACCGTCTTGTCTCGGTGTCACGTGATCGCACCTGGGCGTTGTGGAAGGCAGAGCCCAGTGCCGACGGTCAGACGCCGCCCACCTTGAAACTTCACAAACGATCGCCACCTGGGAAGGACGGACACTCCCGCATCATTTGGGCCTGCGCCTGGTTGCCCGACAATAGGTACTGATGTTTGCGTTAGTAGTATGTTTTGATTCCTGTATATTTACTCGATGGATGTAGAATTTGTCGTCCTCTCACACAAACCCTGGGAATTCCGTTTTTGTGTTCATTTTTTGATGTCTTACCAGTAAGTTCTGCTGGCGTTTTTTTTCAGTGCATTTGTCACAGCCTCGCGCGACAAACACATCATGGTTTGGGATGGCGATAGCGGTGCCCGTTTGGGACCCCCACACTCCCTCTCTGAGGCCATAACCGCTTTCGACGTTGCGTCATCGATTTTCGGCCAGAAATTCTCCTTCGCAGTTGCCGGTTTCGAGTCGGGCGGAATTGAGCTGCTGGCGATATCATTGGCTGACAAGGCGTGTCGGTCGCTGTGGAAACTGCCATCTGATTGGTCACACATGGGAGTGTGTGTGCGGCGATTGGCCTTGCACCCATTGGACGACGAGTGGGTGGCTCTTGCCAGTGGCGGCGACGATGGCGTAGTCCGAGTCTTCAGGATCTCCCCTGCATCCCTGATGGAGTTGGAAGGTGGAGGCGGAGGAGAAAGAGGTAGCGACAGCGCCAATGCATAGAACACTTAAAACGCACTATATTTTCAATAAATTTTAATAAACCTCATTTCTGCGTTATGAGTGCTCACTTTCGTGTCTAGAAGTGACAATTGTTCGTCATTCAAGCCAAGACCTACGCAATTTGTCGGCATTCGGAGATGTTTCAACCTAGCTGGCATCTCCGGGTCCACGAGTGATTGCCGCGCGACCATTGTCCACGCCTAGGTCCAACTCAGAGCATCTGCTATGGCCACGTTCGAGGAGTTCTCTTTTGATACCTTGAGCAGATGACTAGCAGCATGCGAAATCGTGTGATTTTGTGAGAACTCCGTAAAATGAGTTGCCTCTACGCCGTTTTAGAGGCAGATAGATAGTCCCATGATTAATTTTTGAGCTGTTGAATCAGCTGTGCACAGGAAAATACGATGCCTTCATGGACGACATTTGGAGCGACCACACTGAGGTCAAATCTATCTTCCACTTGTGTCTATGAGCCCGTTTCGTAAGGCGGAAACTGCTAAAAGGCGTAATTTAACGCGTCACACGTGAGTGTTATTTCAGAAGGTGGAACGTTTCAACTGCTAGCTGATTTTCTGCACATGTCAGAGCAGTGTTAGCGTGGATATGTATATCAGACGTCACTTGGGGGTGCAGTGCCTTTACTTGTCGAAAATTGCCAAATACAATCCAGTGTCTTTTTAGGGACGAGGCTAAGCCCCACTAGAAACACACTTCGTGTACACACAAATACGCTTGTATGGCCGAAATTCGCGGTGAGAAGTTGTAAGTCGACGAGGGTTTTCAGAACACGCTAAGAGCGTTCAGTGGCGCCTGGCGCAAGCACTTTCCTTCAAGTGAACCGAGCGGCATTTTGGTCAATCAAAGTACCGACCAGACCAAGCAGGCCGTGGATACCCTGAGATACCGCAAGTTGAGTGACCTGATTCCCTGATTAGCATCGTGGTTTGGCTGCATCCCCTCAGAACGAACTGTTTAATAGCCCAACAAACTCTGATGGTTCACGTGACAGGCAGTCGATAGGACGATGCGGCATGCGAAGTTAAAGTGAACAGAGACTTAGACGTTGGTAAGGGTAAAGGGCCACATTTCAGTCTGTTACAAGTGTCATTAACTGGGAAGGAATTTACTGTCTTTACGTCTACGGAAGTAGCATAAAGACAACATAAGTAGTAAAGCGACGCTGCAACAAAGACAGATCACTTATTGAATCTAGAGTAATTAAATCACATCGTCAATGGACTACAAATGAGACACCTGATTGGCTGCTGCTGTGATGACCTTGGGGGGATCCAACCCTTATAACTCAACATTAACCACACTTATTTCGTGTTCTAGGACATCATTAACGAAGTTCGTCTTTAAGTTCTGTGAACTAGTAGCCATTGCTTTGTTAACAGTGAAAGGATCTTCTCATTTCACATCAGCAGTCACCGTAAAGGTATGCGCCGTTGGATTCAATCACAGGTGTGTTTTCATGACCCACTTGGGCCCCAAACCATGTCAATGTTACATCCGCTGATATTTATCTCGTAAGTACGCCTCCATTACACACATTTTGAGGTACAAAATTATATGTGCTTTCACAATGCTAGGCATCAGTGGAGGGAGAAGATAAAATTCTCACCGCCTGCAAAAGAACTGGCATTTCAACCGAAGTTAATGTCTGTCTCTTCGGAAGCTAAAAACATTTTGAGTAGAATGTTTACGAAATTTGTCGTGAAATGCAAATGTAGATAAAATTTCACGCCTCCTCATTCACGCAAGCATTTAGCGTCTAAACATTTTGGATAAGTTTGCGTCTGTTGCAAACATCCATGAGCTTTTTAGCAATCACCGCTTTTTTTTATTTCATCTCAGTGATTACCAATTAGTTTGTGTCTGAGTTTTGTGCTTTTCGACCTAAAAGCAGTCCCGGCAACCGACGGGAACAGAAAAGATTGTGGAGGAAGAATCGCGAAGCATTCAAAATGAGGCAGCGTCTTGTTTACCAAACTTTTAGTGACCGATTCAAATGGCTGAACGGTTAGATGAACGAAACAGAGGGTAGCATGAGGGAGGTACATCCACAGGGGTGTATGACCAGGCGTCTCGACATAATCGATAGGGGGGCGCCGTGAAAACAGGAGGTCAGTGTGGTGGAGAATGCAGCGACCAAGTTGGTGGACGTGAATCAGCACGATTCACCACCGACGTGTCACACTACAGGCGCAAAGCCGCGGCATCTGAGCCTAACCTGACTGGACATGTCGGTACTGCCATTGTAATAAAGGACAAATCCGACATCTGTTCTTTCTCCCGTCACACCGGCCAGAAGGAAAAGCTATTTCCTGAACAGACATGTTGTCTACATCGTGACGGCTTTGATTGTCCATGAACCGTCTCCTTCATCGGTTCTGACGGCCACTTTTGTACGAAGCCAATCATCATCAGTAGCCGCCAGCACCATCGGGGACGTTGTAGTGTTGTGCGGAATTGAAGCCTCATTAACGCGCAGCAAACATGACGCCGTCAAGTAGTTAGCGTTGTGACGGCCAATTAAAATTACTGCGACACTAATTAACTCGGAGAAGCGGCAATGCAGTTTTTGTTCACTTGGAAGTTACATTACAAGCACTGCGTCGAGGAATGACTCTCGATTTCGAGCCAACGTGTGTTGTTTGGGAAGTTGCATGTGCCAGTTGTGTGGTGAATGATACGTAAATTTCGTCATCTGCAAGCACAACCTTATGCACTGAATTGTTTTCGACTAAGACGCTAAGAAAAACAGCCATGTTTCATGTTGGATGCGTCTGTTTACTTTGGGGTTTGAATGGTCGACGGCGCGTAGTAATTAACGTGTCGAGGTAGCTTCAAAGTGAGGCATTTTGTCGATTTCGTGGAGTGCTAGTTAGAGAAGCAGTAAGTGCATCGATTGCTATACTCAAACGGACCTCAAAATTACGATATTTACACCAATTTCAAAAACTCAAGGCACGATGACCATGGAGATGGGATTAATCAGATCGTCAATATGTTTGAGCACTGCAGAGTGTGGTTGAAAACCACTTTAAAGGGTTCAGATGGACAACCAAGCGGTGATTTCTCTGTTTGTGGACTTCGTCAATTTCAGAAGTGGCGCCTGACATGAGGCAGTCGTCTCTATGCTGGTGAATATCATAAACAGACGTTCCAAGAACGACTGCAGACTGTTGCATCCGGTGGGGGTTGGTGGAAAATTGATGGACACTGTGTGAGCAGAAGCATTTCAGGTTGTCTTAGAACGCTTGTACAGGAGCACAACTATGCAAACTGAAAATATGAAGCATTTTTCTATGAATGGGGACACCTTGATGGACATCACATTCGCTTCTGTCATCGTCAAATTTCACGCGCCTCTTCGATTGCATCCCAAACTTCATTTTACGGTAAAGACCGTTTCCCGATGCTGCGACACCGAAGTCACATTCCGGAGCAACCCACATCAGCTGTGTTGGCTCGAGTGAAGCAAGCAGAGCCTTGACGGTAGTGCCTTCCAAAAGAGACGATGTGCTGGCTTTCACGCCAACCGCCTCCGCTTTGGGGGCGTCAGTTTATGCACCAGCTCAAAAATACCCTCGCTACCACTTCATATCATCTTGATTTGACGTCACTCAAAACGCCACCCCAATTTTGGACGTTTGCTATCCACTTGCGTTTAAGCGGTATCGATAGATTTTTTTTCCTATGGAGAGACCTCCAACTCAGGTCCCTTTGCGTCAGATTAGGCGGCAAAAC